AATGTTTTGAGACATCTTCGCTTCGCCTTATTCGTTCTATGGACAAGCTTCGCTCACTGTTACGAGGCCTGAATGAGAAACTTCCCCTGAATGTGACGGGAATATCGCCTATTTCGTCTGCTTTTCGCGATACTGCTGTTTTTCCACCAATTTTGACAGTCCCTTCAGCGAGCATTCGAAAGGTGCGTCGACAAAAAGCAGCATCCATGCAGAATAGCGTGGATACCTCTATCGTGTTCCCCGTATTCCCTCTTTATGGTAAGCCCTCACCACTTTCGTTACTGTGTCTTGACCGTTCCGTATATTTCGTCATTATCAGGACTAATGTAGCCTTCAGCAGTGTTGACTGATCCTTATTCGGCCTAGTCCGTCGGTCTCCTTTTACTGGCACATATTTCCCGACGTGCAATTCTTCCCATTCCTGTTCCGCTCACAGGTTCCCTATAGGGTGTAAAGGTTGTCAGTCCACTAGTTATGTTAATTATCTTTGTCTATTCGTTGGTCAACTATTTTGGTAACTGTTTGTTTTGCTATCACTTACTACCACTCACACTTTCCGTTGTCAAACATGTAAGATGGAAACTAACACCTTTATGCTTCTGTGAAACGTTCTCTAAATGCTCCAACATTGTGCAAAGTACCCCCTGTGCTGCTTAGAATAATTGGCATTACTTGAAGCTTTCCATTCAACAAACGAGCTAGACAGCCTAGATTTCACCATGGAAGAACTACGCATGCTGTTGGCAAGTGTTGACGGGATATAGCCTGTCTAGTCAGATGGAATCCACTCACTGATCATGAAAATCCTGTCGGCCATCATCTCACCTTCTGATTCATTATCGCATGACTGGAAATGCTCCGTTGTAGAGGCAATACCGAAAGATGGTGACCAAATCAAAATAGATCATTACCGACCGGTCTGCCTGACTGCTGTTTTAGCAATAACCATCGAGAAGTTTGCGAAGAAAGATCTTCCGTAGCTTCTCAAATCGAAAAGCTCCTTGACACACGCACAGCATGATGTCATGAAAGGTCGTTCGTGCATCACCAACATGCTGTTGAAGAGGCATGCTTGGTTGCAAGCGCTGAGCCATGGTAACTCGATTTGACGTCATTTACGCTGACTTTAGTAAGGCTTTTGACAAGGTGCATCATGAGGTGCTGCTCCATTGGTTGAGGGTATGCGCCGTTGGTGGTTTGCTGCACCGATGGATCAGGAATTTCCTTGTTGGTCGAATGTGGAGGGTCCAAGTCGACAATTATCTTACCGACTGGTATCCATCAAGCAGTGGCGCGCACCGACGCACTATACTGAGGTCCATTTTGTTCCTGATCTGTATAAACGATGTGCTTCAGCCTCTTCTTTCGCCTTGTGCGTTGTTTACAGATAATTTGAAGGTGTGTAGAGTAATCCGCGCACCAAATTAATGTAGCCTGCTTCAGCGGGGCTTCGACTGCCTCTCAATTTGGTCTACAGAGATCAACCTTCCGATCAACCCGGTAAAGTCGCAATTCATGAGGTTGGATAAGTGTGAGCACGGTAGAAGCTACAGTGTGGACGATCAACCGCTGCATACAACACCTACCGTGAGAGACCTCAGTGTAGTCACTCGCTACGACCTAAAATCCATGGGCCACACGAATGAGTTTTAACAGTACGGCCTTCGTACGCTTTGGGCGCTCAACTGCAGCTTCAACACTTGATCCGACTAAATTGTTACTCGCCTCTTCGTCTCAATAATAGGACCAAAGCTAGAGTATGGCTCACGCGTATACTGTCCTATCACCCGGGGCGAGGTAGAAAAGATTAAGCGCGTAAAGCATGTGGCCACCAGGCTGATCCTCATTCACGAAGTATGCCGTACGAAGACCGGTGTAAGAGACTAAAGCTTTACACCCTATTTTATCGTCGATTTTGGATTGATCTCATCATGACGCACCGGATAATATATCTCGCTGAGTACTCTATGTTGAGGCCACTGTTGCATTTGCACACACCAAGCAGCACACGAGTACGCCGGTACAAGCTTGTAGTACCGGATTGGAAGTGGGTCACCCATCAACTGTTTCGAATGGATAGTGGTGAGTGTAAGGAACAGCGTGCCGCATCACGTAGTTGAGGCAATGTCAGTGTCGGCATTCAATAACTTCCTAAATAAACACTTTGCCGATATAAAATATATCGGGCGCACCCCAACTTCACGCATTATGTATCTGAGTGTTATTAGATGCAGCTACAGAGCGACACCTCTTCTTGCTACTTCCAACCTGTATTCGTTCCATTTCAGCATATCAAACGAATGTTATGGAACCGAGTGACTAGTGGAAGCCTGAATGGTACGAAGTGAAATCTATCACATCCAAACTCATTCAGAAAGGTATCACACTTCAGGAATTGCATTGTGCTGCCGTCTCATCCTTTCGAGATTCATCAGCAATACTGTAGGGCTGGATCCCGCAGAAAGACTACTCTGTTTATAATGGTGTAATTTAATTGGCAATCGGAGTTCGATAACTCCCTGTTTTGGAGGCTACCGTTTTCTCTGGACAGTGGTAATGCGCACGTTATTGGAGATTGAGCGATGATATATCATATCTATTAATGCAACCATGTCCACTGCAGATTAACAGAAACCAGTGGGGGGTATTATGTTTTTGGGAAGATTCCTAGCAGTTAGACGCCACACCTCCAGGAATGGGCTAGACGGCCATTTCGTCCCACTGGGACTCATCAGTAGTAGCGTGCACTAGCCGCACTCGAGCCCATGACCTTAATCTTACGAGTCAGCGACATGCCACTGAGCCATCTATGACCATGGCGGATCGCCATGACTGATTTTTAATTGTGGTATAATGCGGCTCATCCTCCGCTGTCATGTTTGTTGTGAACGTGCAGAGGAGAAGGCTGGTCTCCAGAGTTATGAGTACCTTTACAAACCGCCATCGATCGACGTGGTATATAAGTTGCCTAAATGATTACTGATTATTAGAGGGTAGTAGGTGGATTTATTGTGCTTTTGAGATAATTCGTCGTAACTGAACTCAGTCAGACAGTCACCGCACACCCCGGAAAGTATTATAATGGATCGTTTCGTCCTGTTGTGACTCGTCAGTAATGCGCATCCGCCGGCTCCAAGCCCATAGCGTTACTCTTACGATCGTAGCTGTTTGACTGAGTCTAGTTGTGATGAATCTCAACTTATGGCGTCAGTCTGACCATTTCAGGATCGAGGATCTATGTTAAACTTCACAGGTGTCATTTTGGGCCGACAACTGCATCCGACTATAAATCAACCATGTCATGGCAATCTTTAAGTGCTCTTTCCACTTGCTTTCCACTTAGGATTGAAGTAGGTCTTAACTTGTTGATTGTCAAGACGGACTTAATTCTATGCAACCGGTGGGGCTAATCGGTATGGACAAATTACCTCGGTTGCCACTCCCAACTTTCCACTTTTGCATCGAAGAGCGGTCGGAGTTGTGGTCAAATGGGGTGTCACTGTTATATCGTTATAGTAACATTGAGGGTGCACTAAGTCGCATTGCTGTCTAACTTGTACAGCTTGACTTGCACTCAGACAAAATCTCCCCGCTGACATGGTTGTCGGCATCCGGTCTTGGATTTTCCTGTCATTGCGACCACTATGGGGACAGCCAAAGGAAGCCTGCCCCTTCATCGGGACCATGAGTGGCTTGCGCCGCACCATCCACATCTCCATCCACACACCCCATATCCACTGTAAACCCGAAGGAATAAGACCAGACGACATGTGGATGGGAGTCACGTTTCATCAACGGAGCCGAACCACACTCCTCCAACATGCACAGCAGCAGCATTCCTGTTTATATATGTAGGGAATCATGCGTACCAGACGTACATAAGGCATTGGCTGAGCCGTAGTCCGCTCCACACTGGATGGAACCACTCTTTGAGCCTTGCACGGCCACGAGGACCGTGCACCCCGTCCCTCCCCAGGAGCGATACACAGTTTCCTGGAGCCGGCAATCGAGATGGACGGTGTTAGACAGGTAGGTATCTTGTCAAAATTTACATCAAGCGCAGCCACATCGGGGATATCAAGCAACCAATACAGAGTTTGAAGGAAAATAAATGCTAAAAATTGACACGGGATATGCAGCAGAATACCAGAACTGAGCAAATAAACCAGAGGCATATTTTTTTATCCAGGTTAAGAAGATTTGGTCTAAGTATAAGTCGGTGCGGCCCAACTGTGGTGAAGGAGCATGGCGTATGCATCACCAACCTCACTTCCTCGGTTGCATAAGAGAAACATGTGGTTGCTTGTATGCATCATAGGAACCCTCTGTGTTCTCTGTCTCGAACAGCGTGCTAAGCGTATAGCATTCTATTTCCATCAGATGTACCGCCGCATCCTCCGTGGCAAAGTTCTGGGCAACATCGGGGTCCAAATGTTTCTTTCATGTCGCAGTCCTCGTATTCATTGGATGCTCTAAATTTTAACAACCGAGTATCTCGCATAGTTTTATCGATTGATTGTCAATTCGTGACGCATATCCCGATGTTGATTGACCGCATTTCCTAGACCTTTCTCCGTCCGAAGTTTTTTCATTGTCTGCTTGGTCGGTTCGATTGTTATCGTCAAAACATCTCTAAAACCCTGTTACTCTTAATCCTTCGTGTCCTCTTTGGATCTTTTATTTTTTCCGCCTTCTCTCCTTTCTCTAGTTGTCGTCACCCTAGAGCAGTCTGGCAAATGGCCGAACGAGTTGCTACCCTTCCAACATATGAAACGTCTTCTTGTCATTCGCATACACGAATTGCTGTCACCACTCGGCATACCTTCGCGCGTTGCGAGAAACAGCACACTTGATATCTTTCTTGTAAGTCTGTGGGTCAGCTTCGCACCCGATAATTTCTTAGATTCCGTTACGAATTATTGTTTTTCCAGAAGCAGATGGATATCGGATGTTACCCGCCCGAAAACACGGCATTCCACTACCGGTTTCGTACTTAGTTAATGCCATCAAATAGAGACAGCAGGCGCTTTAACCCCCGGGCTTTTCGGATGTCAGCCGGAACCTCCAGCCCTAGGCCACCAAGTCGCGGTGCGCATCGCTTGTCACGGCGGGTAATGACTGGGCTTTTCCTACTTTAATACTATCTACTTAGAGCCGGTTTCATGCGTTTCGCATTCATAAGCAGCGTCTTTTTTATTAGTTTATTTTCCTGCGGTTCACTTTCCATGGGGCGTTATATTGCACCAGTCTTTATGCCTTCCTGACTTTTTAATAAAACTAGTCTAATCCTCTTCTTGTCATCCTCTAAATTTCCTGCACGAGTTTCAATAAAGCAAGAAGAAACATTTTAACAGAATTTACTGAATTCAGCAATTTCGCGTATTCTCGTCAGCTGTTTACATACAGTTAGTGGAAAACAGTGCGATGTTAAGAGCAAAAAGTTCAAAGCGGTCGAAGGTCCTTAGGCTCACGTGACCCGTTCTGAGAAAAACGCAATCACTAGCCTCACCAGGGTAGAGCTAGCGTGGTCACGAAATCCGTTTGTTTGCACAGATTTGGGTTCAGCCGCTGAATTGCTGCCGCCTCCGCAAACTGTAGTAAGCGGAGATTAGCTTGTTTGCTAACTACCCTGAAATTGCCACGTGAGTTTTGGCATTCAGGGCAGTCAAGTATTTGTCGGGCAATAGAGCTAGTCGGTAGCTTCGGACCCTTAGCGATTATTTTTCGCGAAACATGCTCTACAATTCTCGCTGACAGCCTTCTCTCAGTTCGGCCTATGTACTTGCTACCGCAAGTACAGTTTGCGGAGGCGGGAGCAATTCAGCGGCTGAACCCAAATCTGTGCAAGCAGACGGATTTCGTGACCACGCTAGCCCTACCCTGGTGAGGCTAGTGATTGCGTTTTCCTCGGAACCGGTCACGTGAGCCTAAGGATCTTGGACCGTTTTGAAATTTTTGCTCTTAACATCGCACTGTTTCCCACTAACTGTATGTAAACATCTGACGAGAATACGCGAAATTGCTGAATTCAGTAAATTCTGTTAAAATGTTGTTTCTTCTTGCTTTATTCCAATTCGTGAAGGGAAATGCCTGCATGAAATTCCTGCACGAGTGACAGCGGAACGGATTTCCTTATTATTCTCGGTTTTTTATTTAACACACTGGACTTCACTACCTACAGCCAAGCTTCCTCCGTTTCCTACCTTCTTTTCGAACCTGAGAATATGGTTTGCTGTTCCGACCCCTTTGCGCTTGTATCAAATAAATTCAACCTACCCGGATGTCAATTTACAATCTCCATATTTTCTATGACGCCTACTGCATCCACGCACCACAAAGTAAACTACACTACCTGCTGACATTGCGCTATTCCGTCTGTTTCTAGTTCGCTCTATCGTCGCTTAACATCCTGTTCCGAATTTGCCTTTGATTCAGTCGCACCCACCACTACTCGGTAGCTATCGATTCTATCCGGCTTGTCACTATGCGGATTCTCTACGGTCTTGTTGACAGTTTGTCTGCGATTAGTCCGTCAGTGAGGTACGAGTTGTTCTGCCTATTATCATCCGCTGCTGAGCCCGCCATATCCTATAATGCGTGCATCTGATTTGCATGGTACTTACTGAGTACCGGGAACATTTTCACTCTATCAAACACTCCATTACTTTCACTCCGTCGGTTTTCTTGTTGTCAACTTCTCACTGCGCCCATCTGATGATATCGCCATCTGAGATGCCGCCACACCGTCATCTTGGCTCAGATGTTCAAGCAGTTCCGATCGGCCATCTCCACACCAGTTTTCATAAATTCCACCGGCCCGTGGCCGGAAAGACAAGGCGTCTGCTTTACAACGCCGTGGTCGCGGGTTCGAGCCTGATTAAGGGACGGGGAAACCCTCGCAGTATCCTTGGCCCACATGATTGGTGGTGATTTCGTGGCAGCGAGGCGTCTGTACGGTGTACTGCTTATGTCTATTCTCCTCTTATTCGTTTATACCCCTCCCTTTCTTCCATCCCCAATCGTCCGCTGTGACTCGGCGTCTACCTACACTGGTTAACCCCCTCCCATACAAGTAGCAGTCCAAATATCCTGGAAGATTTTTCATTAAGTCAAGTGCTAAGCGCAATAATTTGCTCAGTGCTCACCCAATATTTATCGTCACAGTTGATCGGAATGATGGTGGAAGACGGTAGTTAATCCTCCATTAGCATACTTATTCTCCATTGTTAATCGGCCTCCGCTACGACGTAAATTGCGCAGTTTCACGACACTGCCATGCATAATCATAGACCCTTCATACAAGTACTGGATATCATTCTTAATGTGCACTCTGCTAGATGTGTAGCATTTAGGTGATTCAAATCGTGTGCCTTCTTCTGTCGTTACGAAAAATGGGTTTTTATCGATCAGGGTAAATAATCTTCGTTTTCAGGCCGGTTTGAGCTAAATAGTAGCTCCAATCCCCTAGACTTGGTAAGATACAGCATTCGGTTGGAATTCTGCAATGCGCACTGATGTACCTAAGAGGTGTACTTGTACACGCGTGGACGATATGAGTTCCATTTTATGCACGCACGTGATCCACCGTCATTTTCGTCGTCGGTACATCAGTGGCTTGTACCATCCAAACATAAAACGAAGCGCACAACCTAACTAATAACCAAAATGGATGAGAGAGGACCTAACATAGAAGCTGTATTATCGAGCGGTCAGTTAGAGTCAAAGCGCCTACATATTGCGGGCATCACATGGTCACAAATGTCCATGTACGGTCGAGGTGATACTGGCAAAGCAGCTTTCTGGTGGCTTTCATTGTCCCGGGTCACTATCACTTATATCTCAGCAGTCACAGTTCACACACCTTAGACAGTCATTATGTCTAGGAGCTTGTCAAAAACGCGGTATTGCTTCCGTCTACACATCATGTTCCGCAATGATCTGCATTAAACACAAGATGTGTCACATAGACACTCCCTTTTTGATTCAGTCGTTAGCCGCATCATCTCTAGTCCTCAAGCCAACGGTTAAACTACTCGGGCCTTTCGCCTTCCTAGATTAGCTGAACGGCAAGACCCTCATCTGTAGCTTAAGATACGCAACCACAACTTATTATTGTCTACTCATCTAACGCACTGAGATTACTGTTACTGCTTTGCATTCACCGCACGCATTGCTCCGAACCGCCTACATTGTTCGACTTGAGTGATTTTTCTTAGGTAACGATGATCAGTTTCAAACCGGATAAGCCGTTTCACTCCTTTTGTTCTGTATGCACGGCTAAAAATCAAGCAAGGTTCCCCTCTAGCGACAGATATGTAGCGGATTCATACAGGAAGCGGCAGTCACACTTGTCACTGCCAGCTTATCTGTTAGCTACATCGCCAAGTGTCAGAGTGCCAGCAATCTGCTGATGCTGTCGCATTACACAAACCGAAGGCTGGAACCACCTGGTAGTATGTCCACGGCTAACTGCGCACTTCGCGATACCAGCCAGCAACGGGGGGGTAGTATGATGTTCTTCTGAGCAGGATCTCAGCACCAGCGTTGCGCGGCCTCGGAAGCCATCACTTCACGGTGGAGTCTACGATGAAAATGAACAGAAGTGAGGACGCGAAACTGCCCTGGTGACTTCCATCATCATCGTATGTTGTAACAGCAGTGCGTCAGCACTGTATACTGTTTCTTCGTCGCAGTACCGCTATAAGTATCCACCTAATGAGGAACGGAAAGAACTTAGAGTGGGGGCCTGATGATGTGATGGGACCTAGTCAAATTTGCAAGATCGTGTTTGTACCTTTCTAACTATACAGGATAACTCACTGCGGACCCTAACTCAGCCTGAGATTCTGGAGCATAGGGCAACAATTTTAACTTTAGAGAGCATCTTTTTGGACAGTTCATTGATCACGCTGGAGTAATCATCTGAGTCTGATGTGCTCTCAACTCGAGCGACAGATATGCTCGGTTCGTATGACACTGCTCAAACAAGTGGAGTAAGGTGAAGTGTAATATATGCAACGTCGTTCCCGTCGAACGCACATGACCTTTCATTTATAGTTTTCGTTTCACACCCTAAGCAAGCACCTGGTGGCGCTTTTTAATGATTGTTGCCTTTTTACTGGAACTTCGTCCTTACTTTATCTGCCGCGGATCTCAGTTTCCATTGAGATTTTTGACATTTTCTTTCTGGTTGCAAAGTCACTAACAGCCTTCAGCAGCTGTCTCCCACGGTTCCGTGGCCTAACCCGCGGACTCGTAAGCGGAAGATCATGGGTTCGGATCCGGTGGATTCACCCTACTGACTAGTCCCAATAAGACTAAACGACCTCCTGGCGTTTTCGTGGATGCGTAGTGGATGTCTGGCTGTGTCAAGTTGCGATACATCTTCTCAGAAACGCAACCCCTACTAATCTCGAATAATTCGACTCTTTTTATCGACTGTATTGTGGCCAGCCCTTGATTGACTTTAATCCACCGACTCTGCTTCTATGATCTCAGTCGCCGTCTCGGCGACCACTCTGATTTACTCGAAATAGACAGTCTCGAGGAGATTGCATCCTTTCGGAAGACAAAGAATACCAACTCACCATGTACAGCGAGAGCGTTTTTGTAAAATTTTGTCATATCTTTACATGAGTTTCACCTAGTTTTCTACTCCGTTCCGGACTTTCATCCTTGAGACCCTGACAGCCACGATGTTAGCCTCATCTCACATCAAAATATTCTTAAGTCGCCCCCACATTTCTTAATACTAATAATTGATTTTCACTTGGACATGAATGTCACACATCCTGTAGTTTGCTGTAGCCTTAGCCTCGAACGGTTATCAAGATGAGTGCTTCTGTCCAGCGGTAAAATCGATCACGACTGCAATCTGTGAATAGAACGCACATTCTCAGCCAAACAGAAAAGATTTGTTATCAGCTGTCGTGTGTATCGAAATACGACTATCTTTGACAAGCTCTGGTTTGCATAATAGCAGGGTTTTAACCAAAGCACGTTCTCCCAGCGGTTCATTTCTTGGTTCTCTTATCTTCACTTTCCCAGGATGGTCTGGTTTTCCGCACGTTTATTTCCTTGCCGCGGGAGGCCAAGTTACTAGAGTCTGCCGCCTCAGCATCTACCGAAGCCATCAAAAGCAATGAAGAGCAAGATTCAGATTTGGACAATTCCTATGATGCTTCGTCCATCGCAAGTCTGGCAACTCACCTTCGGCTGACCCAAAGCATGCCAACCATATCTGGATTGCTCACAAGCGTGACTCGAGATCATCCCCACGTATTTCCAGACGCCTGTCGTTTGGCCAAACGTTGGCTATCTTCACATGGCTATCCTGTGATCATGTGTCCGTTCGAGGCTGAATTCGATGGTGTACGGCATGTTTTTCACCCTACTACAACCAAATCATCAAAATCCCACCATCCCATCCAATCAGATATGTCCAGCGTGTCTATTGACCTGAACCCACTGGATTCCGGTGCTCGTTTGTCCGAAATTGCCTTGGAATTGCTGTTAGTATATGCATCCGGTTTTTCCGCTATGATTGACCACAAAAGTGACTCTACATCCGGCACTGCGCAACTCAAGCCCGGTCCACTACGTGCAGGCCCGACTGGGTCACCCTTGGCCGCTTTTTTGCGCTTCCTGAAATTGTTGGCTCTTCACGATTGGGAAAAGCACCCTCTATTGGTTGATTTGAATGACGGGTTTTCAGGTGAGATGAATATTCCTCAATGAACTAGTTGTGTACATACATTCTTTCGATATTCTCTGTACAATCTCAACACCACTATTGCAGATCGCGTTCCTTTTCTTGAACGCCAGAGGCCTATAGCACATCCCCATCAGACTGCACGGAGCGGCGAATACTTTGTTTTTTTTCATTGTAGCTCCAACCAGGTCATTTACAGCCGGCTGGTGGCTGAAATAACCTGGCGTCCGCCTTGCTACCCTGAGATCAGCGGTTTGAGCTTGCATAGGAGATCGGGCGACCCTCACAGTATCCTTAGCCCACATGCAGATGGTGATGGTTGCGTGACAGCAAAGCGTCGGTGCATCTTACCGGCGTATTGCTGATGTCATTTTTCTTCTTTCTGGTCATTCACAAGGGATGTATCATAGGGCGACTTTATGAGAGGCGTCCACCAGACAGATTCCCAGCGAAGCACCTGAACACCATTTTATCCAGTTATGGTTTCATAAGCAGTACACTATTACGTAGAACCTTGGTGATTCGAACAAGCATCTTTCTATAAAACGTAGAATTATGCCGTTAATTAACGACAGTGGAGTAGCAGCTTTTTCCACACGGGGCAATGCTAAGATATTCAGTCACCTCGCTGACAGTTGGAAATCCGTTAACCTTTAAAATGTCGAAAAGCGTTTAATTATTTTCATAACATATGAACCGATGATTTCATTTTAGAGTGATACCATAAGTCGATCACATTGCCATTAACAGGGCATCGCACGAGCCCTTGTGGTGTTATAGAGAGACAACCTCACCAGTCGTCTATGACTGTCCGAGACTGTTTATTCATCGCGTATACGGAACAGATGTGGCTTATTCACATTCACCCCTACAGAGAATGCGTATTGCGATCCGCAATCTGAGAAAGTGCTAGACAGCGTACAGCTTCGCTGCGTTGGGAGATGAGGAGAGTCAAGCAAGCCGAGCGTGTATTGGACGGATACAGCAGACGAATATGAGTAAAGGGACAGGATCAACGTTCCTCGAGTGATACCATCCTGTTTTGCGATATAAAGCAAAAATTTCAATGTTGTGCTCTCTATGTGGAGTGTTCCTTTCCTACTTAAACAAGCTGTGGTATAATGGAGCCCATATTATGCAAACTTTAGTTGTCGGTTCCCAACAATCTACGTTAAACACCTCCTTTTATCTTCCTGACCAAACTTGCGGCCTAAGCTGGCTTATCAAGCCAAACGTGTCGCTGATGATAAACGGGTCGTCGAAGGTGGATTCGAAAACCGTGAATTGATCAGTCTTTTAAAGCGCATGAATAACAAGCTTATCTAAAGCATGATCTCACTCGTAAAGGGGTGCGCAATGTTTAATCAATATTTCTGTGTCTCTAGCTTGGTTACTGAACCCATGAGTATGGTCTTGTCACCACTCACAGTCGATCAGCCCAACTGTATCAAATTGAGATCCACCATGTACACAAACTTATCAGGTTCACAAGACTGTCATATTTCGGGGTCCAGCCAATATTCTTTCCGTATTTGTGAAATCGGGTGGGGATGACATCCCCATGCTATTGTTAGGTATGTTCAATCTATCCATGAACACCGGCGTCGTGCTAGCTCAATGGACAGAAGCCATAGTTTTGCCTCGACATAAATCAGGTCTACTGTTCGAATTTAAAATTTTCGCTTAATAAGCCACATAGCTATGTTATCAAAAATGCTGGAGCGACATATCAAAGCTAAAACTGTCGAATTCCTACTATCAAGCAGGCGAATAAATAACTCTCAACACGGCTTCTTGAATAATCGGTCTTGTATAACGTGCCACCTGGGATTTCAAATCCAGGTAACTGCCTCGCATGATCTTGGTATGTCAGCAGCTCTAATTTACATTGATGTAAACCGGGCCTTTGATCGTGCGCCTCATGGAAAACTAGTAACTAGAATGATGTCCTACAGGTTCGATAAACCCTTGCTTTCTTGCTTCAGATCATACCTTACAAATCGAACGCAAGTGGTACAAATCCAACAATACAAATCTGCGCCTTCACCTGTCACCTGTGGTGTGATACAAGTGTCCTTGGGTCGCTACTATCCTTAATCTATGTTATCGACATTTTTGACGTGGTATTATTCGGTACACTTACTTGTTTGCCGATGACATTAAAATGCTAGACACTTTCAGCATGGAACCTTCCAATGATGCTGTCTACCAGATCCAACGCGATCTCCATGCACTTGATACTTCGTGCTCAAAGTGAACAATCTTTTTTTCTAGTGACAAATGTTGTGCGACGTCCCACAAGTGCTATTTGACTCAGCGGCCTGACTCCTGAAGGCCAACCACTTAATCTCTGTCCTCCGGTAAGAGACCTGGGATTGCGTTACTCGTACTCACTTTACTTCCGTGAACTCCGGATTGGCTGTACCGACGGACACCGCGGACTTTTCAACCACCGTGTGCTGGATACTACTTTTGCTTCGGATTACTGTGTTATCAGTGTTTTTTCTATGTGAATTGTGCTTTAATATTTTTCTTTTGATGTATTTTCCATAGGTACAAATTCGTTGGATATTCTTTGGCTAATTCTGGAAATCTCATTGATTGGCCCAACTGCCGTCTGTGTCCACCATCTTGCATTTGCTCTACTTTGTGATGCCGTCTCAAGCTAATTGTGGTTCGTGTTCGAAAGTTGTTGGACATAATTCTCATGCACTTCGGCTGTGATGTTTTGTTCCATATTTTGTGCATTGGCTTATTCTTTGACATGTTTCGAAAATCTCTCGTCATCCGACATCGGTTTTTCCAACTTATATGCAATTAATGTCGCGGTACAAGATATCAGAATACATAGCAACCGCCAAGAACTGCTGGAAAACCTCCCTTCCAGGCAGAAACAAACCGTTCACTACGTGGGGTCAAACGCTCCCGTGCAAGTACCTCTGTCACCTCGCCTTCCCTTGTCACTCCGCGATCTGCACCACTACCAGCGTCTTCTACCCTGGCCGAGCCTCAGGTTCAATGTTCCACACCGATTGATGACTCAAACTCGGAACCTACGAAATGCCGCTTCACTGATCGGTCCGTGAATTTCTCAGAGCCTGTCTGTAAACCTCTGAACACCGAGGATCCATGGACCACTCAAAAGCGCAAGGGGCCACGTAATCGCGTTCAAGCGTCCCATGCTGATAAACAACAAGCCAAACCGATAAACGCCTGTAGTCCTGCTCCTACAGGTTCATCACCGATTTCGCTGAGGCGTCATAATCACATGGTCTCTCACGTATCCAAGATGAAAACCCTCAGATACAGTATGATAACGATGTTGAGTTCCTCCGGGGTCTCATCGATAGACTCTTGGATGTGGATGAAGACAGTGTGACCATTAAACAAGTAGTCCGACTTGGCCAGGAAACTAATCAGTCATGTCGACCTCTGAGATTCACCTTTGTAAATCACAATATACCGCAGCTCATACTGTCAAGTCTGAAAGGCATAAATGTTCACATTCGTCGAGACTTGGAACGTGAAGACAGGGATCGTTTGAAGACTGCGGTCATTGAGCTCAAACGCCGTACTGAAGTACTTGAGACTGACTTACAAATTGTAAATTTTCGGGTGATCAAGAAGGGTGTACGAACCCGTATCAACTGGTTGCTCAATCTCTAGGCGCGTCCCGCGGTATCTCCCAGGACCTCCGTGTGGCATTCGCCAACGTGTGCAACCTAATGAACAAACGTGACGAACTGTGCAACTTCGCTGTCTCGGAGCGGCCGGACGTTTTAGGACTTGCAGTGACTTGGCTGAACTCCGACGCCACACCCCAAGAACTCGCGTTATCAGGATACTCTTGTTTCCGATTCGACCGAAAAGCAAGGGCTCACGGTGTTGTTCTGTTGTACATAAAATCGTCATTATCTGGCAAACTTACCAGCGCCTGTCTGTGCGAGGACCACCTGTGCGAGCAATTGTGGTGTACAATCCGTCTCAGACACGCAGAACTAATAGTGGATGTTACCTACCGTAGCCCATTAAACCGTTGTTGCGATTGGCTACCACATATACAGAAACACATGAGCCGCCCTCATTTCTTACTGATGGGGATCTCAATTTACCTGAGATATTCTGGCCAGTCTTTCGGCTTCTTTCCGGTCATGGCGACGTTGAGGCTTAATTCGCTACAATGATTATTGAAATCGGGGCAATCCAACATGTCATCCAACCCACGCGCGTAACTCTGCACTCGGTATCTTGTCTGGACCTAATGTTTACGACCTGCGAGAAGAATCTAAAAGAGGTCAGAGTCCTCGAACATCTGGGGAACAGTGACCACTTCTCTATTGTGGCAAGCATAGAACTACCGTTACCGTATTACAACCAACGGAAGCCGACATTCAACTATTGGAAGACTGACTTCAACGGGCTCGTCCAAGCTGCAAGTCAAATTGATTGGACACTACCACAGGATGCATCGCTTGTGACCTGTTGGTCATTAATAAAGGGGAAACGTAACTCGCTGTGTACTTGGTTCGTTCCTCTGAAGTATTCGAAAGTCGGACCTATCAAACCGCATTGGTTCGATACGGATTATAGACAGTTAGCGCGATGGCGTCGCAAATTTTGGAAAAGGAACATCAGCTCTGGTTGTGATGAAGATTACACGGTGTACAAGAAACAGCGTAACTTGTCTACCGCCGCAAAGATCAATAAACTCCGGTAGTTCGAAGAGGAACTAACGTCCTCGGCCACAAATGCACCCCAAAGAATATTTGCCTACTTGAAGCATCAACTGAAACCTGGGGGCAACCTACCGGTCTTAGAGAGCTTGGACGAACAGACGCTCATTTCAAGTGCGGAGCGCGCAGACGACTTGGATACGCACTTCCTTACCGTATTCTACAGTATCGACAGTATCGACACAGGTTGCACCAGTCATGCTCGACAACGTACAATGTGATGCAGTCGAAATGTATCTGCTACCCGTCAACCTCGATAGTGCAAAGCCCCCCGGACTGGACGGACTTCACCCACAAATACTCAAGTCCTTATCGAATGTCATCTCACCAACCATGACAAACCTATTCAATAAATCACTCGCTGAAGTATCTGTCCCCAACGACTGGAAATGCTCGGTAGTGAGACCGCTTCCAAAGGTTGGTGATCCGAGTAAAATAGAGAACTATAAACCGATCTGTTTGACTTCGATATTATCCAGAGTTCACGAAAAGGTTGTGAAAATGTGTCTGCTGTCGTTCATCGAATCGATAGACGTATTGACACCAGCTCAATACGGCTTTACGAAAAGGTGATCCTGCGTCAGCAACTTGATGTACGTAGACCACCAATGGGTACGGGCTCTCAACGAACGAATGAATGTTGACGTGGTGTACATCGACTTTAGTAAGGCGTTTGACAGAGTGAACCACGAGGTACTCCTTCGTAAACTGAGGACATACGGAATCGGTGGCACGCTACTTCAGTGGTTACACGAGTTTATTGTGTGACGAAAGTTTAGGGTGCAGGTCAACGAATACCTGGTAGACTGGTTCCCATCGACCAGTGGCGTGCCTCAAGGAACTGTACTTGGGCCAGTGTTATTTCTTATTCATATCAACGATCTCCCGCAGCAGCTCCAGTCACCATGTGCCCTGTTTGCAGATGATTTGAAAATCTGGAGGATCACTGAGAACCAGGACGACTGCGCTCGCCTCCAGCATGACTTAGATCGACTGTCAACGTGGTCTACTGAAATGCAACTCCCTCTTAACGCAAGCAAGTCGGAGTTCATCAGTATCACCAGACGTCCAGCCACTCGATCATACACCTTGGACGGCTAGTTCCTCCATCTCAACACATCTGTCAGAGACTTAGGAGTGCTCTCACGACATGATACGAGATCACTAGAAAATACAGAGAAATTGTACCGTACGGGACTTCGTATGCTCTGGGCATTACGACGCAGTTTCTACACATGGTCCGAAGAAACAGTCCCTCGTCTATTCACCTCGCTCATCAGACCAATCCTTGAATTAGAGCGCCTCAGCTTACCATCCGATAACCCAGTGGGAAACCGAAAAGCTGGAGAAAATACAGCACACCGCAACTAGAATGATACCCAGTCTACGAAAGCTTCCGTATGAAAAACGTTGTGAAAGGTTCGGACTCTACACACTATCCTAGTGCTGAGTAAGAATTGACCTTATTATGACCCATCGAGTACTACAGTTGAATCACTTCCCCTAATGCAGCCACTAGTTCACCTGCGGGAACCCTGTAACACCCGAGGACACCATTACAAACTCAAGGTCCCTGCATGAATATAGTATCACATCACCTTTGTATAGAACGATGAATCGAGAACTTGTGGAATACTCTACCACAAGGACTTATAGAAGCCGATTCTGTGAAGTGTTTTCTAACACGTATCGACGGTTATTTCGAAAACGTGCTTTCGTGAAACGATACACTTACAATGCTATAGATACATCCTATGCCTGGAAATAATAGACGATTAACTGACCAAACACTACCACTGAGGATTCGCAATTAAATGTTTTTGATTTTTCATAATTCGCGTTTTATAGAAACCTTTCTACTTGCTCTTCAATACAGTCTCAGTCTGTCTCAAGTAGCGATAACAAGACAGCACATTAGATTGGTATTCAGGACTTTCCCCCTACATGAATCAATAGTCATTCTTACGTATTTGTTGTTCACCCCACGCCAGAATATTGTTCAATGGTGTATAGCAGCTCAGAAAAGCTCGACCGCATTGCATTGGAACGAGTACAGAGAGCATTCATTAAGCGCCTGCTAGTTGCATCTTCAAAACTGGGATATTGTGAACCATGTGATAACCTCAAGCTTGATCATCTCTGGCTACGGCGCTTGAAGCAAAAACTAGTTATACTCTTCAACCTCTTGTAAATAAATATACATGTTTCCTGCCTAAACATGACACTACTGCAATCGGCAGTCTATAACACACGAAACCAACAGGACTCGGTGGCGGAATGCAAGTCCAGTACCAACAGACCTGCCAACATTTCCCTTAACAGCGACGCCAGAGTCTGGAACAAGCTACCACCCGGAATACGTGCCTACACTCTTGAATACGAATATCGCAAACGCATCACCAAGTTCTTTACTGTCCAGAACGTGATCAAACTTTTGGTTGTTCTATACAAAGTGACCAAGCGTACGAGCAGGGTCCAGGTTTCATATGACCCAGTACATGTTTCACCGTCATATTCTCTTCTGTGATTTATCTGTTTTATGTGGGAAATTAACGTTTCGAGGCCATCCAACCTCATTTCGATTCAGTTAACCATTTATGGTCTCTTTGTTGTCCTTCCAAACGTTATTTTGTGATCTGCCATTCAATTTTCCCGATCCACTTGTGATCAATATTTTCTGAATGTATGCACTTACCCGATCATGCCTATACAGGTGTGTCTCACATCGTCGAGAATAGAAGTTTATTTATTCGGTTCCTCTTGTTCCTTTGGGTCTTTGTGTTACTATTCCCTCCATCAGAACGTGTTTCGAAATTCATGCCTGTAGACTACTCTGCTACCCATGCTTCCATTTATTCTGCATCAAAGGGGAAATATGCTTTACGTGCTAGCACTTGATTTTAATTTTCTCTACCATAACCCAGCGTATTTCTGTTTTGTCCTATCGCCGCTACTCTGCACACCCGCTTAGCAACCGAGCTGTATCTCTTTTCACTAAAACTCCCTTGCGTCACCTTTTTCATTTGCCATTCCTTCTCTTGCCTCACTTCATGAAAACCTACCTTCTGACTTCTTTCTATGTCAAAGACTTGGCGAAGCGTCGGATCGCCTGCAACGCGCTACAGGGCAACCGTGGTCGTCTGCCAGCCATGGTAATATGCACTCCAGTGGACCCACTTGGTACAGAATGGACCACTATAGGACCCACTCGAGCGGGACTCTCGACTCTTCAAGCGCTGGCATTACAAAGCCATTCTCTGCTAAGAGCCATGCTTGTAGCAGGCGCCCGAATCCAGGATTTGAAGGTAAGTTAACGAAAACTTTGACCCATTTTGATCCTTCGTAAGGCAGTCGTAGTGGTTTCAAACCTCATAAGCGATCCTCAATAGTCACACACAGCTGTTACCCGTTGTGTTCACCGAATTTTTTGCCTCGTGAGGACTTTCTACTATTTTACCACTCACTAGTCACTTTTTGTATGGCGTTGCTCACACGCATGCGCTCGGTTCTCAAGCCCTGCGGCTGCACTCTTGGCATATTGTCATATAATGGTTAGTTAATGGCCTTCCCATGTTTGTCGACAACAATTCCACTCCCATCAAAATGCTAAACTTAAATGTGTAGGAAAACTTACTTTAGTGGCCTATTCAATCTTCTTTGACCCAACTCCGGGTTTCTTTAGTCACTTTGCGCACGCCTTGTAAGGCATCCGCGCATGCGAAAACTTAGTCCCCAGATTCTTTATTTGATCATCAAACGTGTTCTAGGCTTTCGTGTGTTCTCTTAATCCTTGCTAACTGGTATATCGAGCTTTTGTTTTACTTTCTTTGGGTAAACACTAATCCGCCTCGCTTTCCCAATCTGGTGTAGGCCATTTTTAGACCTTGTCACAAGAATCTGAACTTGCTGATGTTGTTGAAGCCCGATATGTCGCGCGTGCGTGCACTGGAGGCCGTCGATTTCCTCCCCTCTACTCGGTCTTTGAAACGAAGGGCTGCGCACGAATCAGCTCCACCAGATGAAATACCCCCTCCTGGTGCTGCATTCTGGCCCATGGGATACTGCTACGACCCAATGACTCTGTTTGTTCAACTCCTTAAGGTTGGTTTCTCCATTTTGCTTTCCTCTATGCCTTGCGCTGTTGTGGCGTCCTTCAGTGTCCAGCATTGAGATGGATGTTGCGTACATATTGCTTTTTCACTTCAGTCGCGTGTCAATGCGTGATTGTAGATGTATCTCCATGTCAGCATCAGGATGTGCGCTGTTAGGTTGGCTGACTCGTTCCAGGCTTCGAAGTCGCATGGGGACAAACGGTGCCTGTTCATCATTGCGACTTACGCCCCCACAAACTGCAGCCCTGATTCGGTGAAAGATGATTTCTATCACCAACTTAACAATCTTCTTTACAGAAGAAGCACAGATACTGTGCTGCTTGCTGCTGATCTAAACGCCCAAGTCGGAAAATTTTCCTCTGGTAAGCTTCATTTGGGGGATCAACATGGTTTAGTCTCCGGTAATGCTAACCGTGAGCGATTGCTACACCTGTGTGAAGATACTCGTCTATTTCTCGCGAGCACAAACTTTTGACATAACATCCACAGAAGAGTGACTTGGCGCCCACAAGCATTGGGCCAGTCATGGACATAAATCGATCACATCGCGATTAGTTACCACTAAAGACTGTCCAAAACTGTTGCTCGATTTGGAGCACCAGCATGGACTTCGACCACGCTCTTGTTTATGCTGATCTGCAGATGCGTTTCGGCGGACGTCCGCAACGTCGTTCTGAGCGCATTTCTCCCAGCCAGCTGACGAAGCCAGGTGTTCTGAATGCGTATCAAACTACGCTGGCATCTAGGCTGAGTAAGCGTCCACTGAACACCGTCGAAGATCACTGGTCGCATATTCGTCAAATGTTACTATCAGCAGCCATGTCTTCCTGTGGCAAATCAAATTGCCAACCTAGACATTGGGTCTCCACAAAGTCTCTGGAACTTATGGATGCTCGCCGACGTATTCCGGCTGGAAGCGAATACAATGAAACTCACAAAAATCTCAGAGCACAACTGCGTGTTAGCCTGAAGAGAGACCGCGAAGCCTGGTGGTCTCATCGTGCATCGGAGATGGAAACAGCCGCTGCCGTTGGTAACCATCGTAAGTTATTCCGTCTGATACGGGAAACAGGCAGCAGTAGACCTGGTGTTAGCGAGACCATACGCGATGAGAGTGAACAGCCAATCCACAGCTTGTCAAACCGCTTAGAGCGTTGGGCCGAACACTGCAGTTCAGTTTAACCAATCTGAGTTATCGCTTTTTCTTTCGGGCATTGAGTACGCTTCTCCATGGGCCGTCTTCTTAGATCCGCCCTCATGCGCAGACGTCGAACGTGAGATCAGACTGTTGAAACTGCATAAGGCCGTTGGTGCAGATAGAATTCCCCCAGCTCCCTACAAATTCGGGGGACCTTCTCTTGTAGATGATTTACACGAGTTGTTAATTGAGCTTTGGGAGCAGGAAACTGTCCCAACAGACTGCAGCCGCTCCTTCATTATCCTAATTTTCAATGGATGCTCCCGTTCGGAATGCGGCAGCCATAGTGGGATCAGTCTGCTCTCAATTACCTCTAAATTGCTTACCACTGTTGTTCTCCACAGACTGACTGGCGCTCGTGAAGGCCAAATCCGCAAGGAGCAAGTCGGGTTTCCTCGAAATCGGAGCTGCATCGACCACCTCTTCATCGTCAATTGTTGGAGCACCGCCATGTTTATTAGCCGCCCACTGTTGTCAGGTTTCTCGACATCAAAAGTGCTCTCGATTCGGTGGATCGATGTGCCCTTTGGGACTGTCTGCTGAGAAAAGATGTGCCTGATAAATACGTAAACATCAAAGCTCTGTACGCACGTAGTTCGGGTAGAGTGAAGGTTTATGGCAAACTGTCGCCGCCCTTCAATATCTCCAGCGGTGTGAGACAAGGTTGCCTGCTGTCACCTTTCCTATTTAACTTCGCTATTGATGGATTCATGGAAACAGCGTTCGCTAGACACTACATAGAAGGTGTGGTGCTACTTCCTGGTGAAGGGCTTCTTGACTTGGAGTATGCGGACGGCATTGATCTCATATGTGACAGTGTCCAAACGTGCCAGGCTGCACTGGACCCATTAGCATTGGTTATCAATCGTTTTGGGCTATGTTTTGCTCCATCGAAATGCAAAGTACTTTTCCAAGATTGGCAGGGACCCAACCCTTCGCTAACGTTTTATGATGCTAAGCTAGACGTCGTTCAGGAATTCACGGACCTGGGCAGTATTAGCGCCCGTGGGATGAAAGCTGAGATTACGAACCGTATAGCAAAAGCTCGCGGTGCTTTTGCCAGTCCCCGCCACCTGTGGTGTAGACGAGACATCACTCTCGCCCTTAAGGGCAGAGTTTATAATGCAGCCGTCCGTTCAAGCCTCTTATACGGTTGTGAAACTGTTGCGGGCTCGTCAAAAATCCCCGCAAAAACACGCCAGAAACCCCGACAGAATGGCTGTGGGAAGCGGGGTCCAATTCCTCCCCACAACGCAGCAGAGCTCAGCCACTCCGAGCCGCGCCCCAACTGCGCACCTTTCGACAATGCTCATTTGCAAACTACCACCTCTGCGTGGTGACTGTTTTCCCTAACTTAATAACCCATAGCACTAGCTGTGATCGCCCTTTGTCGGTCGTAAAAGAGCCTACAGAGGACCACTTGTCTTTTCTTTCTCTTCGCCTCAGTTGGGAGTCGGTCGGGTCGCGTGATTGCGTGTGAATCGTTAGCTGGACAGCCTTCGCGTCTAAGTCATTAGCGCGCGTCTATCGTACCCCCTCTCGTGTGCGTCCGTTTTCGAGGCCTCAGCGTCTATACGAACAAGTGCGGCTAAGATCGTTCCCACGCTCGTTCAATTTTCCGTCTCACCGGCTAAGCTAGCGTCATCGTAGGCGTGCTCCAACCGTGCGAGCGACAAGCTTGTCAAGCAATTACCTCAAGAGGCGGCGTTCCCTCAATTATAACCGTGGCGACGCAACTATAACAGTGGCAACGCAATTATAACAGTGGCGACTCAACCATAACAGTGGCGACAGAGTTGGCGAACCATGACTGACGAATATGCCGATTTAAAATTGATGCTGCAGCAACAGCTTAAATTGATGTCCGCGCTAACCGAAAAACTTTCCAGTTCTTCCCTTCACTCAGGTCCGAGCGCTAATTCTTAGTCAGTGGACCATGTGGTTAGGGGCATCAGCGAATTCCTGTACGACGCCAAGGCCGGGGTAACGTTCGAATCTTGGTACAAGCGGTACCAGGACCTGTTCACCGTTGATTTGGCTTGCCAGGACGACGCGTGGAAGGTCCGCCTGCTTCTTCGCAAACTTGGTACCCTCGAACACCAGCGCTACACCAATTTCATCTTGCCGAGGAACCCACGGGACGTTACCTTTGACGACACGGTCCGAACGTTGTCACAGATTTTTGGCGAGCAGTCCTCTCTGTTCAATGCTCGTTACCAATGTCTGCAGCTGGTCAAACGTGATGCCGACGACTTCATCACGTACGCGGGCATGGTCAACCGTGAATGCCAACGTTTTCAACTTGGCTCGCTCACCGAGGACCAATTCAAATGCCTGATCTTCGTCTCTGGCCTCCAATCTCCACACGATGCCGATATCCGGACGCGCCTCCTGTCCAAGCTACAACAGGATGGATCAGTCACACTCCAGAACCTGGCCGAGGAGTATCAAACACTGCTCAACCTGAAGCACGATTCTGCCATGATCCAGAACGCCGCCGCACCTGGTATGGTCCAGGCAGTCACAGCACCGAGGGCGCAATCGTCCGCGCGCCCCACCCAATCCGATCGAGCGAAGTCCCCACCCTACGCATGCCGATTCTGTGGTGTCTGGCATTTCCACCGCGACTGCAAGTTCCGCCAGCATCGTTGTCAACGTTGTGGCAGGGTGGGGCACCGGGATGGTTACTGCCATCCTCCATCTCCCAAGGGGGCCAAAACTGGGCTGGCCCCCACCCGCGATCCAAAGAAGAGGTCCTGACCCAGACGCGCACCCAAACCTGATCCGGTTGGCAACTCCCTGAGCCTGCTGGCCACGTTCCAAATCAACGCTGCGGATCGGAGAAAGTTCGTTGACGTCTTGATCAATGGTCAGTCGGTCCGATTGCAGTTGGACACTGCGTCGGACATCACAATCATCTCCGAGGATCTCTGGCGATCCCCTGGCAAGCCACCGTTTGAACCGACCTCTCAATCTGCCACCAGCGCCTGTGGTGGTCGCGTGCAGCTAACTGGGCAGCTGCACTGCTCCGTCTCCTTCCGAGACGTCACGTTCAACGCGATCTGCTACATTACAAAGGCGAAACTCAACGTGCTTCGTCTCGACTGGCTCGAAACCCTTGGCTTGGCCGATCTTCCTCTTTGGGCCATCTGCAACGTGGTACATTCTCCGACAGTACCAAACGACCGAACCGACGACAAAGCCGGTCAATCCGCCCCCGTGTTCCAGGATTGTCAACAAGCCTCAAAGATGCCACCACACCAATCATCAGTTCCTTGGCATCGGCCAGCAAAACCGTGGTCTCGAGTGCACATCAATTACGCTGGTCCCATCAATGGCACTTCCTATCTGGTCGTGGTCGACGCCTATTCCAAATGGCCAGAAGTGGTCGCCGTCAACCCCCCAACCGCATCCGCCACTCTGGTTGGTCTCCAACGAATCTTCAGTCAACATGGCCTTCCAGAGGTCTTGGTGTCTGACAATGGTACCCAGTTTACGTCTTCCGTCTTCGAAGACTTTTGCCGCCGACACTGCATCGAACCCCCCCGCTCACCGCCGTACCATCCGCAATCCAACGGTCAAGCGGAGCGATTTGTCGACACATTCAAGAGGGCGCTTTTGAAATCTCGCGGGGAGGGGACCGTGGATGAGTGTCTTCAAGCTTTCCTGCTCTCGTACAGGTCCACACCGAATCCAGCTACGCCAGGAGGCCAGTCACCATCTGAAGCATTGATGGGCCGCAAGCTACGCACCACAAACGATGCGCTCATTCCGACAGAGAAGCCACCTACTCACTCTGGTGCCGGCACAAAGCACAAAGAATTCGCCGTCGGAGCACCAGTCTACGCTCGCGATTACCGAGCAGGTCATCCTCGCTGGATCAGAGAAACAGTGACGGCCAGGCGAGGTGACATGCTGCATGATGTCTCCGTAGGTGATGACACCTGGGTTCGCCATCGCAATCAACTTCGTCCGCGCCACGAAGAAACCTCCACGCCAGCGAGCTATCCCGTGCGCTTGCCGCTGCACATCCTGTTGGATACTTTCGGATTGGCCACACAACGACAGACCACGGTCGAAGCCGCTCAGTCGCCGCCGCATCTCGAGAACCCACCTTGCCGACGAACAGAAAGAATTCGGAGGTCACCGAAATCCTTCCAGGTCAGTCCTCGCCAGAAGCGGTACGCTCTCTCTTCAAAGGGAGGTGTTGCGGGTCCGCCAAAAATCCCCGCAAAAACACGCCAGAAACCCCGACAGAATGGCTGTGGGAAGCGGGGTCCAATTCCTCCCCACAACGCAGCAGAGCTCAGCCACTCCGAGCCGCGCCCCAACTGCGCACCTTTCGACAGTGCTCATTTGCAAACTACCACCTCTGCGTGGTGACTGTTTTCCCTAACTTAATAACCCATAGCACTAGCTGTGATCGCTCTTTGTCGGTCGTAAAAGAGCCTACAGAGGACCACTTGTCTTTTCTTTCTCTTCGCCTCAGTTGGGAGTCGGTCGGGTCGCGTGATTGCGTGTGAATCGTTAGCTGGACAGCCTTCGCGTCTAAGTCATTAGCGCGCGTCTATCGTACCCCCTCTCGTGTGCGTCCGTTTTCGAGGCCTCAGCGTCTATACGAACAAGTGCGGCTAAGATCGTTCCCACGCTCGTTCAATTTTCCGTCTCACCGGCTAAGCTAGCGTCATCGTAGGCGTGCTCCAACCGTGCGAGCGACAAGCTTGTCAAGCAATTACCTCAAGAGGCGGCGTTCCCTCAATTATAACCGTGGCGACGCAATCATAACAGTGACGACTCAATTATAACAGAAACCTGGCCCATCAGGTTGACAGACATAAAGAGACTAGCCACGTTTGATCATCGCTGCCTACGCAGCTTAGCTCATGTCTGGTGGGAGCATCATGTGAGCAATGAGCTCGTTCGGCGTCGCGTATTTGGTACAGGAAGAGCTAGTGAACCGCTCAGCACCATTATATCACGCACCAGACTCCGATGGTTGGGCCACGTGTTGCGCATTCCAGCACACCGACTCCCGCGACGTGCATTGTTTGAACGCCGTGGTTGCGGTTGGATGAGGAGGAGGGCAGGCCAAGCGGTGACTTGCTGGAGAGAAATGAAAACCCTTACTTCGAAGTTGACGTCGGTTGGTGCATTCCGACTGCTTGGCCGGGGTACTAAGGACGATTAACACGTTTGGTTGGACACACTTGTTGATATGGCTAGGAGCCGGCTCCAATGGCGTTTGTGTTATGAGTTCCTTTGTCCGTCCCCCTCCAGCTTAGCCTGCCCCTCCAATCAAGATCTCATTCGCTAGGCATAATATAACTCTTTTTGAGGCATGATAGCGAGCGCTCAGCTCTCCAGAACGATGCCCATCTGTTACTGGGGACTCAGCCGGCGTGCCTCTGTTCTTTTCTTCTTGTCTTTTGTATTGCGGCACAATAGTTGAAGTGTTTTCCATCCGCAGCTGACGTGTATAATGAATGAAGGAGTGAATGTTATTAAAGCAGCTCGAGCTAACCTTCCGGAGTAGACTACCGGAGAGTTTCTACCATCCATAATATCCCATCGCTAATACTCTTCCTCGATCTACTCCTCATTTCTTGATAGATTACAAGGAACTGTTGCTAACAGTTTACCCAAATCTCTTTAAATTAAGAGGTGGTTACATTTTACATTGCTCTGTTCTTCCTTCGCATTCTTGTTTGGTCGGCAAGTAACCCTCACTCCTTAGAATCGATCCTTACTGCGTCTGGACATCACACATAGAAAATTACAGCATTGTGACTTATTACTTGGCTCAGGATCTGTTTGCACTGGTCATTTTTTGGGCCTCTGGTGTTAAAGAGTCGACGACCATGAATGTGTTTGCTGTCTGGCATTATCTTCAACGTCCCCATGCCTCTTGTGTTCACTTGCTTCTCAGCTAATTATAGCATGTGTGTGGTTCGACTTCGTGCTTCCACATTGGTTAATATTCACAGTCTAAAAATGTACTGCATTTTATCGCTTCGGTATATACTCCCATCGGTCTGCAGCTTAGAAACTGTAAACGACTGGAAGTATCACTCCTTATCCTTTTGACGAGACATGATTATCGTAGTTATGCTTCAACATTCTAGGAATAGATATGGAGCCATGAAAAATCGTGAACTTAAAAGAACGTGCACTTGTCGAATAGGAAACGGAATACAACACAGAGAAATCCATGGTTTCCTCAGAAGGCACAATACTACTCAGTTGCACAAGCTGAAGTAGGGAGTTGTCTAAACTGCCTACCTGCAAGGCAGCGAAGCGAACTCAGAGAATCGCACTTATTGGGAATCGGTGACCGATTTCTCAGCTTATACGCCTTTGGTTTGCTGTTGTCAACTACATCCCGCATTCTTCCGCGGGATTAGTGCTCCACATAGATGATGCAAGGGGTAGTGACTTTAATTTGTGGTGAGTCATAACCGCCACGTCGCAATTTTTTAAACGGATATTTGTGGCTTTTATAGGGGGGAGGACTGTCAGACGACACCCGCCATATCCTGAAACACTGCGGCTGTGGCGTGGATTGCGATGTGTGACTTATCCGCAATCTACTTACCAATCGTGACGGCACGAAGCCTTTCGATCCCGATTGGCTCCACCTGTTGATTCTCAAGTCGTTGTAGACCATCATCTCGCTCTCCGTGACTGATCTGTTCAACAGATCGCTGTCCGAAGGTGCATTGCCGAGCGACTGGAATTGCTCGGTAGTGAAGCCGATTCCGAAGAGCGGTGGCTCAAGTAAGGTGAACAATTAACAGCCGATTTATCTGACCTCCGTTTTCGTCACAGTACTCGGGAATATCGTGTACATGAGGTCGTGGATGCTTGAGTCGAGAGACCTGAATCCGTTCCAACGCGGTTTCCTAAAAGGCCGCTCATGCATCACCAATTTGCTGTTGATGCAACTTGAATGGTTGATAACACTGAACTGGGGGAAATCTGTCGACGTGATCTTCGTTGATTTTAGTAATGCGTTCCACGAGGTGAATCATTGAGTCCTCCTACAAAAACTGAGGATCTGCGGTGTTGGTGGATCACTGCACCACTGGATCAGTGACTTCCTTATTGGGTGGAAGTGGAGGGTACAAGTGAATGATCATCCAACTGATTGGTACCCCCCCACCACTGTGATACTCCATGGCATAGTACTGGGGCCTATTTGGTTCCTGATCCACATGAACGAAGTACCTGGGGAAGGGCGGTGGGTGTACATACACTCTGGCCGGCCAACCGCTACATTCCACACATGTGAAAGATCTCGGTGTACTTACACGTTGTGATTTTAAATCCGTGGACGACACGATCATGCTATATGGGAACGGACTGCACATGCTTTGGACGCTCAACCGCAGCTTCTACATTTGGTCTGAAGAGATTCATACTCACCTCTTCTTTTCCGTCATGCGAACAATGTTGAGCTATGGCTCACCTGCCTATTGTCTGATCACCGGGGGCAAGGGGCAGAGACTCGATCGGGTCAAGAATGTGGCCACCAGACTCCTCCCAAATTTACGGGCTATGTCGTACAGTGGCCGATGCAAGAGACTAAGACTGTCGTATCGCCGGTTGTTAGTGGACCTCATTATGACGCACCGGATATTGCAGCTGGGTCATTTCTCTATGCTCATGTCACTGCTGCACATACGCACAGCAAACAGCAATTGCGGACACCTTGTACATGCGTGTACAGGTGAAGCGTGTAGCTCATCCCTCATGTTTTGAACGTTGAATGATGAAATATTGGAACAGTTTGCCGTAAACAATATTTGGGGCATAATCAGTGTCGGAATTCAAGTAATCCCTAGATACCCACTTTGTGAATTTCAGATTTAGAAATTGCATCGCACCCGAATAGCCTATGGTGCAACTGTGATATGCTGTAAACGCACAGGAATCAGTGACGTGATTCTGCAAACGTGCCCGATCTAACTACGATAGAACAACACAGATGCATATCTACTAAACCTATTTTCAGTATTCTTACCTACTTTACTTGTGACATCCGAACTATAGATAGTTTTCTGAGGTGATGACCAGTTGGATTGAAGTGCGTGGGTTGGTTCTGTAGGTTATTCGGTTTTAGACGGTCCACAGCACTTTGAACCTGCGCCCTTCGAGAACTCTTTGAACTAGCCGGATGTCTTAATAGTTAGTGAGCACCCTCACTATTCAGAAAGCTATTCAAATTGGGAACAGCCGAGTACTGTCCCCACTTATCCGACTCGCCGGTCTCTGATTGTCCATGGTTACACAATAGCTGAGAAATGGGCCTACATTGACACCATCACCGGTCTCCGACTCGAACCATCATGAGAGCAGGCAGTTTCTCAATATCATTAGCCCGCGCGCGACTGGTGTCGGTCACTTAACAGCACTTCTGCTGCTTCTTTTGTCTACCTACTTCACTGCTTGCTAACTCATCTCAGCTTCCATTAAACTATTTTCTCTTAGCTACCTCGACTGACCAATCATTTGAAGCGTGCTCACTGTATTGTTGCTCGCGTATCCGGTTCGGTTTTCAAGTTTGTACTTCAGCACATTTTGTCGATGCAATGTGGCCCTGCGCCTGACCCTACCAAGTTGAGTTCTGGTGCATGCCCTCTTTTTGATACATTAGTCATACTTCACCGCAGCTAGTCATTATCTTGTTTATCCTTCCTCTTCTCTTTTTCTACTAGTTTCGATTGGGCAACTTCTTCGAACTGCGTTGGGACCGTCACGGTGGCAGTTGGATTGGCCTCAAATGGAAGTCAAATATGGTCACCAAGTCCGTCTTCTCTAAAGAAGTACTGGATGGCCTAGTTGTACATAAACAATGTGGGACGCAAATGTATGTGGTTCATCAGCCGTCTAGTCTGGCGGCTTTACTTCCCCATTGGGGACAAAGATTTGTGCATTCCGTTCAAGTTATTAACAGCGAAATCATTCCTGAACCGCACTCCATGGAATGCGATATTCCAAAAAAGAAACAGAAGAAGTAGATATAAACCCTTCCCACAATCTCTTGATTCTTGCATTTTTTTGAACCGGTTTCGGTCACGTACTCGATTAGATTGGATCTGACAGCAATGTTGGCTTTCATCTGCTAGCACAAAAACGCTGGCTCACACCTTAACAAACAATGCATACAAAATCTGCAGTGAATATTCCGTTGAAGAGGAACTCACGCGAACCAAAGAAGCACTTTTTGAGAACAGATATCCAGAGCGCCTCATTGACACCCATATGAAGCGGGACAGTCCAATAATGCTAATCCAAACTGTTTCGATGAAACATTTATTCCTGATTTTCTCTTTCAATGGAAACCGGATACCTAAGTTTGCACACGTAGACTAGTGCAAAGCTACAAGAAGACCTTTATTGTGGTATTTACAAGCCAGTCACTTATTGTTCCTAGGTTCAAAGACCGGGTACCTGATCATCTCTGATCCATGGTGATCTACCGCTTTACCCGTCCTTATGGGTCGGGGGACGTTAGACGTACGACCAAATATTTGGGTAAGAAGATCGAAGAACACCTTCCGAGGTCACTCAACTACCACAAATATGGGACGTATGGCGAGGCAATAACTAGCCACCTGAAGTAACACACAAACTGATTTTCATATCCTCTACAGAATAATAGCAGCGAGGCTGCTTTATACTGCGGTGGCGGTGTACATACGGTTAACGAGACCCGACCTATATGTACAAAAGAAAATGATGGTTGGTGGCATCCGGTTTCGAATTTGCCTGTCACTGTGGTCAGCCACAGGACGCCTGCACCTACAGAGGGACCATGGATGGCTTGCGATACACCACCCACAGCTCCAACCACACACCCCATATCCCAGTGTAAACTCGAAGGAATAAGACCGGAAGGCACGTGGATGGGAGCCACGTTTCATCAACGGAGCCGACCCACATTCCTTCACAAGCGATCACAAGCACGCTGTATTTTGGGAATCAAGTGCACACAAGGCGGTGGCTGGACCGTAGTCCGCTCCACACTGAGTGCATGGAACCTCTCTTCGAGCTTAGCACGGCCACGGGGACCGTGCACCCTGTCCCCTCCAGCGACGACCAACTGTCTCCTAGAGCCAGTATGGACGAGGTATTGGGTAATAGACAGGTAGGCACCTTGTCAACATGCACATCAAGCGCAGCCTCACCAGGGATATCAAGCAACAGCCAATCACTTGAGAGAAAGATAACAAGGAAAATAAATCGAGTAATGCATAAGGAAGGGGTGACCTATATCTTAAAGTAATGAGCATCTGAAGTAAATTGTTTACAGAAGATTGCGAGATAAGTTCACGAGGTCAGAAGGTATAATTTACGGAAATGCCACGAACACGAAAATGTTATCGAGATTAACTACAATTAGCTTCAGCGACGTGTGCAAGTTTATAGAAGAGAGTACAGGTAGACATTTATATGAGAAAGGAAAGCATTAGGACGAAATTGAAAACCCATCATCTAAAAAAAATAGACTTAGCACGCAAGCACGCTTTTAGTAAATCGAATGCAGCATGCCTACAAACGCTGCGCCTGTTCTGCCCACGTTCTCTGCAAGACCCGTCGTCGCTTCGGTAGTGGTCCCGAGTGGCCTCGCTCATGGCTCACTAGGCCTGCCTGCCTCAGCCACTCGCGACCGCATGTGCTACAGCACCATGCGCTCGATGTCGACGGAGTACAACCCATCGGTGCTTCCGCACTTGCCGCTTCTTCTCTGCATGCATGAGGTCTTTCTCCCGCACTTCGGCAACTGCCTTCGTGATCAGATCGCGCCATTGAAGCCGATCAACCGCTTTCGCTTCCCAAGACCTGCAATCAAGATTAGAATGTGAGAGGCTTATTTTGATCATATCCTGGTAACGTAACTTTGATTTCCCCACTTGCCGCTTCCCAATACTCAGCTGACCATATAAGAGTTGTTTCGGTGTCCGCGTCGATTCCATACGGATCACATGACTGAGCCACTTCAGGTGTCTCAGCAAAAGTATCCAGTCCACTGCATACATTCCACTTTGTCGCAACACTTCCGTGGCAGCAACTCTGTCGCCCTAACCGATGCGCAAAATGCGTCGCAAAGACTGCTGATGGAACCGCTCGAGATATCGCACATCCCGCCGGTACATCGTCCATGTTTCACTGCCGTATAGAAGAACGAAAAGCACCATGGATTTGTACACCATCAGCTTCGTGCCAACGGTAAGCTGATGGTTGTTCCACACTCAGTATTCAAGCTTCCCGAATGCCGCCGCTGCCTTCGACACGCGGATACGAAGTTCACTGTGTAGCTGCTGGTCAGCCGAAATCACAACCCCAAGGTAGCAGAAGCGGGAGGTGGTTTCCAATACTTCAGCACCAATGCTGATTCGCGGCAATATTGAAGATTGCACCTCCGGTAAAGGCTGAAAGAGACACAGTTTTGCTTGTGTTGATGGTGAGCCCGGATTTAGCCGCTGTCGAAGCCAGAGCACTAGTCATGTGCTGCAACTCATCCGCGCTGTGTGAAAACAACGCACAACCGTCAGCGAACAGCAACATACGGATAGTTGTCTCACAGACTAGAGTTCTCGCACCGAAACGACGGATGTTCAGCAACCCACCATAAATACGGTGCTCCCCATGAACACCGTAAGCAAAAGCGGCATCAAAAGCACAAGACATCATTGCATGAAGATAGATATTAAACAGGGCAGGAGCTAAGACACAGCCTTGCTTCACGCCAGATAACTGCAAAGTAATCGGAGGTCTCTCCACACAGCTGCATGCTCGCTCGCATACCACTGTGCAGACATTCAATTAAACTTACAAACTTACGCGGACAACCAAACTTACCCAACACCAGCCACAGTGCCTCGCGGTTCACCGTATCAAATGCCTTGGTGAAATCAACAAAAAGCGAGTACAATGACTGGTGTCCTTCTCTGCATTTCTCCTGCAACTGACGACCCGCAAACATCATATCTATAGTGTTCCGACCCAAACGGATTCCACACTGCTCTTCCGCAACGTTCGGTTCCACAACCTGACTAACGAGGCTGTTGAACAGGATTCGGGCAATCACCTTGCCCACACAACTCAGGAATTTGATGTCAGGATAACTCGTGCAACATTGCTTGCTCCCTTTGCCCTTGTACAGTGGCAGTACAAGAGCATCCTCCAGCTCAGCACGCACCTCCTCCTCGATTCATACACGTTGCACCAAGTGGTGCAACGCAGTCAGCAACGCGGGTCCGCGGTGTTTCAATACTTTAGGCGAGATCCTGTCGGCCCCAACACACTTGACGTTTCGCAGATGAGCGTGTGATCTCTGCGTCACATGCAGTGTCGATGTGCCCACCAGACTCATCTTCACATCGTGCTGCTTCCGGCCGTTCAATGTAGGCCAATAGATCTCTGAACGGTTGTTCAAGTGACAGTCAAAGTGTATTCCCCAGATCTGCATTATGTCTGCAGTCTGTGTGCAGGTAGCGCCTGAACTACCATTGATCAGCTTCTTCAGTGGCTCCAATCTCGATCCATACACCACCTTCAAGGAGTCAAAGAATTCCTTGTGTTGGCGGCGTTCGGCGTAGCACTCCATCTGCTTCGCCTTCTCCGTCCATCATGCATTGTTAATGCGACGGAGCTCTCGGGTCAGTCGCCGTCGAAGTTTGCGAAACTGTCTCTTCTTCCCCAAGTCACTGGGGTCTGCCACATGTGCAGCAAATGCAGCATTCTTCTCACGCACCAATGCACCAATCGTCGTATTGTTGTCATCAAACGGATCCGGCCGCGTACAGTTTGCACGCCCGATGGTCTCCTCGGTAGCAGCTGTCACGTGATCGCCAATGTGGTGCCACAGGTCGCCCACTGTGGCTATGCAGTCCACACCACACAGGCGTGCAGCCATCGCCTTCTCCAGCTCAATACGTTTCGCCACAGTACCGAGGGAGAGAATGTTAAATTTATACCGATTCGCGGCAGGAGTGCAATACATCGATTTACGAAAATATATGCACAGTTTGGTGAGCACCAATTTGTGATCAGTGCCACACTCAGCTCCACGCAGTACACGTGTCATGCGCACTTCACGCATACCACGCTGACGTACGATGACATAGTCGAGCAGGTGAGCGTGAGCACTCCGTGGGTGCGTCCAAGTTGCTATATCACTCGCACTCAGTGCAAACCGCGTGTTCGTGATCGTCAGGCCGTGAGTGGCACACAGTGAGAGCAGCCTGTCACCGTTCGCATTCGCTGAACCAATGCCATGTGGACCGATAACATCTGTCCACACCGATGTATCATGGCCAAAGCGCGCGTTGAAATCACCCAGCAGGAATAGTCGGTCGCTCCTCGGCACAGACCGTATCACGGAGGATAGCTGAGTGTAGAATTGTCACGCGTGTCATCAGGATAACGCATGGTCGGACCGTACATTCTTATAAAAGGTGGCAAACTTACCACTTCCGAGTCGTGGGCGAACATTCATCAGTCGCGCGCTGATACCTGTTGGTTTTTTCCACCACCTGGCCATGGAGGCGATCGGATATTGCAAATCCGACCCGATGATCACGTGGTGCTGAGGCGGCGTTCCCCACCCGGTAGAATGTGTAGCCAGCACCTGCTTCATGCAACTTACCTTGCTCAGCGAGCCGAGTTTCACTGAGCGACGCCGTACCAATGCTTACATGGATACACCATGTACACAAACTTGTGGCTCTTTCGCTGTTTCCGACCAGCATAAAACCGTGTTTTATGTGCAACGCTGTCACGGTTACTGTACATTCACTATCAGCTATCGGTCAGACAGGTACAGAACTCAGTCCTTCAGGGACAAGCGTTTATTCAGCAAAGTCAAGTCGGTTAAAATTACAGCATGTTTAGCTAACCAAACTCCTCGACATAAGTTGCACGGTCAAGTTCATAACTATCGACCCTTCTGAGTCGACGAGGTTCCTCCCTTGCTTCAGTAAAACCAAAGGTGGATCGCCCACGCGAATATCGG